GTAGAGCCTAACATGCATACAAATATATTTACACGTATGTACATATATGCAAATACATATATCTCTACATATATTCTGAGGGATTCCAAAATAATCAGGTGATGTGGACTTGCTAAAACATAATAATGAATACAGTAGATTACATAATTTTAATGCACACACCGTTTGATTTAATGGTTGTAAACTTAATCATATTACTTAAGTTACCTTTGTTAATTACTTGTCTGACATGAATAAAGTCCTTTTTTATTTTAGACAGATTAATGGGAAGAATAGTATTAATAAGGATCTACTTATAACTTGAACCTTTAATAATATTAAAAATGTAATTGATGTTTTCTATATGGATACTAACTCTGTCATTAAATGCAACGTGTTAAGTGTGTTAAGTATATTTATCAATTTTAAGATCTATAATTGTTCACACAATAATTATGCAACAAAATATACTTCATGACAAAAATAAACAATTTATTTTGAATTATAATAATAATCATCCTGTACATCACGAGGCGTTTAAAGAGTTTATTTTTTACTGCGTACCAACTTTAAAGTTGGACGTAACGGCTACGTAACATGTAGTGATGTAATGCTTCGTTTCGTTGCGTGAGCACGTCACGGATTCGTTTATTACACGTTTACCAGTTACGAGAAAAACCTGGATTACTGTTTTTGATGTTTTATTAAAAATTTATATTTTTTTTTACAAAAAAAACTATTTTTGGGTAAAAATAATAATAAAGACGATTATTTTTTATACAGTGATTTTTTTTAAAATATTTTCATTTAAAGTTTATAAAATTTGAATAGTTTGAAGTTTCAAAATCACAAAAATAAAATAAAGTCGTTAAAAATAATTTGAGTCTCAAAAAAATTTAGTTACTAATGAAAACATAAAATACTTTTTTGAATGAATTTAAATATACATTAATCCTGCACCAAAAAAAAATAATTTATGATAATTAATACAAAATAAATTACCTATAAAGTTATACTTATACCGAAGTTATACTCACTCGTAAGGTTAGGTTTATATCTACATAATTAATTTGAGCGATTCCATCTTGATTAAATATTATCACAGCTTACCGTTTAACTAATTTTTAAAACTATTATATAAACATTAAATAAATGCTTCAATAAATAGAAACCATTAATGAAATAACTTAAAAACTTGCAAACAAAGAGCTCATTTTAACATCTTTACTGTCCGCATAACAGCCACAAACAAATTCGGCATTTCATATGTCAAATTATTAAACACGCGTTACATAGCTGCCACGTAACAAACGAAACAGAGCAGTTACGTTCATGACGATTGACTTGTATAATTAGACGTAACAGCAACGTTTCACCATTGTAACGATTAGATTTATAACGAAATTTTTGAGAGTTTCATCTGTGCTACATATTTGTAATGATAAATTTGAGAAACATACAGTGCACAATGGTGGTTGAGGTTCTTAACTATACGTAATTGCGTGGATTTAGTGGTTTAGTTAATTCGATAGATAATAATTAGATATTTTAGTTAATTCATCAAACAATGTTCATTATATCTTATCTCATCATATTCAATCAAGTTTCAAAAGTTTTGTCTAATTTATCGAACATAACCTACAAGGATCAGCAGCATGTCTTCGTAAGCCAAGCAAGGTGCGTCAACTCTATAATTGACACATATTTTACTGCAGGAACAATCATTTATATAAATTTGTACCAATCGGACAACCAAACATCCTTATATTTGGGTGAACAAGTCTTAAAAACAGCATTTTCCAGTATCAATTGGAAGATTTTAATCAGATCTACAACAGAAATTGGAGACTATTGGGAAGTCATGCCCGAAAATCCTGTTGGATATATTTTGTTTACAAGTTCTTTCCAGGATTTATTACTTGGTGTTGGTTGGTTGAAAGAATATCCAAGTTGGAGGCCTGACGCTTTATTTATTGTAATATTATCTAATTATGTTGACGGTGATGTCAACTTGATCATGAATGAGCTGTGGAGTTCGTATTCTGAATATTGTGATTCTTATGGATGATTTTGTGGATGGATTTAAAATTGCTACATGGTTTCCTTACGCTAACCAAAATTGTGGTGAATATTTAGATATGTATACAGTGCTTGACAGTTGTTCTAATGGTCAATTCCTTTCTAATGTTTCACTGTTTCCAGACAAAGTACCTAAAGATTTTCATGGTTGCGAGTTTAAAGTTATTGCAGTAGTTTGGCCACCGTATATAATGTATCCTGAAAATTTTGATATTCAAGACAATGTTGATGTACCTTTAAAAGATGGTTATGAAATCTACATGTTGACGACCTTGCAGCAGTATTTTAACTGCCAGTTTGTTTACAGAAGCTTTTCTCAACCTGAAAACTGGGGTGACATAAATCCCAATAATACATTTACTGGAATGTTTGACTATTTGTACCAAGGACAAGCTGATATCGCCATTGGGGCCATTTATCCAATCCAAGAACTCCATTTGGTGTTTGATACTTCAATTCAGTACTCACAGAGCCAGTACGTGTTGGTGGTACCCGTAGCGGATTTGGAACCACCTTGGCGAAACTTTTTGGCAATTTTACCATTGAACACTTACCTGGCGTATTGCTTGACTTATATAGTTGTGTCTGGTGTTTGTAAAGTTTTAAGCAAAAACGAAGAGAGGGGTACGGTGTTTTAAAACTGTGTCTGGTTCCTTTTTGGCAGTTTGGGCAATGGCTTTAAACAACAACGTCAACTGCCAGCCGAGTTATTTGAGGTTGAGAATAGTGCTGATTTTATGGGCGTATGTTACTTTGAACATAAGCGCGTTTTATCAAAGTGGTCTGATGTTGAGTTACAGATATCCTTTGAGGAAGTATCAAATTTATAAGGAAGACGAGATTGTGTCCAATGGTTTAATCATTGGTGGAACTGATGCTATAAGTATGATATACGGCAGTACGGATGATGACAACTCCAAATACATCACAGACAACTATGTAGATCTTTTGGCTTTGGACGCTCTCAACTATGTAGCTTATCATAAAAACATAACCACAATTGTAACCAGGGATTATTTATCTTTTGTTTCTGCTGATTTGAAGAAACGTGTCTTCGTGTCTCCCCAAAGCATCATGACCATTCCAATAGAATTGTTGTATTCCAAAGGTTTCCCTCCGGCACCTAAATTTAACAAAATGATTCTAAGATTTTTAGCAGGAGGATTGTTCGAAAGATGGAAATATCTGGTTGGTGGTGCTTTAAGGAAGAATGATATGGAGATGGACGAGCTGGATGTGGAGCGAGATGGCATTATGTTGGAAGTTAAAGATGTCAGTGGAGCTTTTGTGTTCTTGATTTTTGGATCTTGTTTGGCAATTGTAGTTTTTTGCATTGAGATGAAAATGAAACATAAATAGAATAAATTATGATTTCAATTATAAGTCATATATAAGGTAGTTATAAAATACTTACCTTTTCCTTTATGGATATGAATCACGATTGTTCAATAAGCATTAAATAATTAAAAAAAAAAATCAATAAATACTCTTTGTCTGGTACATTTACTAGAATCTAGTATTTTCCAGTATTTACTGATATTAAAACTTTTTTTTGCTTCTTCTGTATATTTCTGATAACCTGTTCTCATGTTTTGTATAAATATAGTAGAATAAAGCTATTAAAAATATACATTTTAGTGTTTTTTTTTGAGGTTTTCAGAATTGAGCAAAGGTTTTCCATTAATTTATTATATTAGCTACACTCTTATATATAAAAGCAATTAGGTTTTGATGCCGGTTTGCTCGCTAGTAGAATTTGTCGATCAGAGTCCATATCTCTAAATCTCGACAGAGGCATGCTCAAATCGTATCATTTGTTAGTTGACGGAGGAGAGAGGGTTACAGGATTGTTTGTAAAAATTGTAAACAGTTTATCCCACACAGTTTGAAATTTAGGAGCTTTTAAGTTCGTAGGGCTTTGGTCAACCTGTATAACCATTTTATTAACATGGTTATATAACAAAATATTAAAAATCAATCACATCCTAATATTTACCCACAAATTACATTTCTAGGACCATAAATAAAAACAACAAAATTTTTCCAATTTTCTAGAATTTAGACTAATTGTTAAACTGTGAAATCGATTGGCTCTTCTTCAGATACAATGCTCTAAAAGTCATTGGCAAGTGTCTCTAAAAGTTTGCGCATTTAATCAAAATTCTATAATGGTACGCTACTTGTTAGTTTTATACTAAAGAAACTAAAAATAAACTATGTTTGCTAACTCATTGTCTTTGTCGAGTCAATTTCTTCCTTAGTAACCAATTCTGTGTGGGTTAAGAGTTACAGACTTCAAGCAGAATCTGACTGGGCCGCCTTCAAACTAGATAACAAGCAGATAACCTCAATTGTTTCCTGAAATACTCAAATTTCCAGCTATTGCATCAAATATAATAAGCTATTCCGAAAGCGTCTATCAACCCTCATCCTAAACACTAATTTTAATTACTATGTCCATATCTGTGCATCTTTAATCTTTCTATCTTTTACCTTTTCAGGGGACAGATTGCTATGTTATACTTTACCGAAGCATCCAGAAAAGGCTCTGTTCTCCCAGAAGTACTACCTCAACATGAATAGATTGTACAAGAACGTGTGCTACTGTAATGATGTCCCGGGGGCCACTTTGATATTTGCGGTGCCCCACATGTCTAGGGTCATACATGTGCTGGACTATAGTCATAATGTAAGATTTGTAAATATTTTGTGGATTTGATAATGTGAATAATTGTGAATTATTCCTAAAATGCATTTATGTACAATAGTAATGGAATGAGAAGTCTATTGCTAACTTTGATTTGCTAATTTTATATTCTTGACATTTCAAGTCATTTTGAATCGTCTGAGACCAAATTTGGAAAAAGTGTAGGCTTGTGTATCTAAGGCAATTTTTTCGTTCACGTTTTAGCCAACAATTTGTATTTTCGTCGACGTTTTGGCTCGTTTCCTTTTAATTAGCAGAAAAGTACAAAAATTTTCGTCCACGTTTTAGCCAAAAATTTGTACCTTTGTCGACGTTTTGGCTTGTTGATCAGATTTGCTAGATGATAAGGATCTGCACTTTTGATCAAGATGTTTCTTCACAACTAGCAAAAAAATACAAAAATTTTCGTCCACGTTTTAGCCAAAAATTTGTACTTTCGTCGACGTTCTGCTAGTTTCCTTTTAATTAGCAGGAAAGTACAACAATTTTCGTCCACGTTTTAGCCAAAAATTTGTACTTTCGTCGACGTTTTGGCTCGTTGATCAGTTTTGCGAGATGATAAGGACCTGCGCTTTCGACCAAAATGCTATTTTTTGATTTCTCCGCGTTTTAATTCATTTTGAATCGTTTAGCACCAAAGTTGGATGCACATATGTGCATATGTTAACAAAAATTTGACCATTTCATCATCCATTTTCTCAAAAACGACTTCTTTAGGACTATTAACGACTACTCTGATTTTAAAATTTTAAAGGCCACATAGTTTAACTGATTTTTTTTCTTTTAGAAATCATGGGCAGTCATCCTAAAGCGAGTTAAGGCTTCAGGACATCAACTGAGAAATATAAATTTTAGAATCGATGAATACCACACCGTTAGCTGTGGAATGGATGGTATCATTTGTGCACATGAAGTAGGAGCTAAAGGAAAACCTATAAGTAATTTTTTATAAATATTAATATATATTTTAATTACATAAATATAATGAATAACACGAACTTGCCTTTGCTTCGTGGTTTAGGCATTTTGACCAGCTTGATATCAAATGGTAATAATATCACAATGAAAGTATAACTTTAAAAGATTAAACGAATACATAGGTGTAAAATGGTTAAAATAGGCCAAATGAAACTTATCTTTTAATGAAAAAATAACCACAGCGTCCAATATAAATTCAATATCACAAAAATATAATATTTATATGTTAATTAATGGGGCAATTCTGCAGTAACAGTGCTCATAACACAGCGATGTCATTGCAACATTATCTTATGTTTGTTTCTTGGTAGTGAAAACTGGAAGAATGTTATGATAACAAAATCTTCGAAAATGCTATTACCATAATATTCTTCCTTGCTTGTTTATATATAAATATAAACTATACTGTGTAAAATATGTTGCCAACGCTATGTTTCGGCAGAATTGCCCCATAAATGTCTTTTGTTAAAACACATAGAGCTATTATCATTAAGCTTATTACCATCGAAGATTTATTATAATCATACCTAATCTGATGTAATTCATCTTGTATATATACCCAGTAAACCACAGAAGTTACCACCACGCAACACATTTTGTAACTTTCGTTTCGAAACTGATGTTAAGTAAACGAACCGATGCTGTTACGTATAGTTGTGAGCTTTAACCACCGTCGACGCGTTTAAACGTTTATAATACTGCTTTGTTCGGATCTGTAGGTACGTGGCGTGGTACGTTGCGCGGTCACATACATTTGCCTTTGAAATAGCCGTGAAGTAGGTTATGGTCGAAATGTCAAAAAATTAAATATAGGTTAAGTCTGTCAGAATACTCAAAATCAGAATCAAGAATACAAAGTTAGATAAAGTCTTAGAAAATATTAATTCGTCGTCACCAAAGAAGCATGACAAGAAGAGAAGAACTTATATAATTTTCACACATTATATTAAATAAGTGTTGAAGAGGAAATAAATTGACGAGTGTTTTAAATAATGATACAATATTGTGTTGTAGATTGTGTGTAATTATATGCTTCGGATATTGTAGCTACTATTTGCACATGTTATATTTATCTTTTGAAGTGTAATGCACTTATTTAAGTATTTATTTATTGCTTCATAATCAGTATTTATATATACATGCTGCAATTTAGTACATGTACATAAGAAAATATGTATGTACAAAGATAGGAAAGTGTCAATTTCTTAATAAACGTTGATTTTTGTAAGAGTAAGTTGTGTAAGAGTAAGAGAGTAAGTTGTGTAGATGTAAATGTTATTTTTAATAAATACATAACATTATTCTTCATACATTTGATCATCGGAATTTTTGATTATCCGAATGCCCATCAACAACAATTAGTCCGGTTATTCGATATATATAATGTAATAATATTTAAACTGAAATCTGCTAAAAATATAGAATAAATAAAACAAATTGAAAAATGATGTAACAATGGGATAACAATATATTTACTTTGATCAAAATGTGGTAGCTTTATACATTTTTTTTTATAATATTTACTTTTACCTTACATCTTACATTTAATTTATCAAGACAAATATCAAATTTTATCAAGACAAATATGCCAATAATTAATCGATAGTAAAAATAATAATGATTTCGAGTATTCTTTCCAAAAAAAACAATCATTGTCTTGCATTATTATATTTTTATTGTAACAATTTATTGTCACAGGTCATACAGCAATTATCAGGTTTCTGACCAGAAATTAAAAAAAATTCAATTCAATTTTTATTATTTTTCCATCCTTGTCTTGATGAACTATTGGATATGAAATACTAATATTTGGTGTTACAGATAATTTATTTTCTTCGCCAATTCTATTGACAAGTTGCTCTAATGGTTTCCTACAATTTTTAATTTTTCCTCGCAAGCGTTTCAATTCATTTTCAAATGGAAAACAACTGAACTTATCTAAACTGCAGTTAAATACTTTGACCTCATTTGCCAAATGTATTACATTGTGAATATTAAAAGTGAATTTGTTCAGTCCATATAATTCAGCAAAACTTCTAACAAAACATATTAAAAGTTTTCTGGCTAATTCATTTGAGGTTAAACAAATTTCCTCATCACACAATATTCTAATACCTAAACACAAATGAACAAAAATTTTTATATTTGTGATGATCCAAATAAGGCTGAAGTATAACTATTCCAGTATATAACAGGAATTGTCTAAATTCAGTTGCTTTCCACCTTTTATACTCATCCAAAACACGAGGTAATCGTGAAAATTCTTTGGGTATGAAAGATTTAATTTCAATAATTTTTTTGTTGGCATTATTTTTATCAGTATCATTCAATCGCATATCTTTGCGACCATTCACCCAAATCCCAAGAAGACGCTTTGTGACCCCCAAACAAATTAAGTGCATATAATCCAATGCAACTTGTGACACCATTCCTATGCCTAATTCTTCTAATATGGAGCTACCTAAATGATGTTCTGGTTGAAGGCGAAGTCTAAAGCTTTCATCAGTACGTAGTGGACAATTTACTTCTGGCATTATCACATGGTCGTCAAAATCACCTTCTTGCGTACATTTCGGGCAGCTAAAATAACCTGCATGACTTTTCACAAATGTTATGAAAGATCTTGCAGGGCTATCACAAACTATTTTAGAAATGATTACTTTACAATTATTTTTCTTAAAGGTTATGCCATTTAGCATGATGGTTTTCATCTCCTTTACGAAATCAGATAAATAAATATTGGCGTCGTTTGGCTTTCCTTCACCGTGATGCACACCGACAATAAAAGGTTTGCTAGCTTCTCCCTCTATCATTAACTGTATCGGCCAAAATGTACTATTAGAGCTCTTAGTTAAGGACATACCATCACAATTTAACTGTAACTTAATATTAATTGGACATTTTTTGTACATTTTGGTCATGGCTCGAATAATAGAACTTTCTACACCAAAATGTACATAAAACCCCCCATTAAGTGCCTGAATGCTTTCTGTAGCATGCCTTGGTGTTCCCAATAATGTCCGTACATCGCATGGAAGATATGCATCAAGTCCATGATGTTTTCGTAGAAGTTTCAATAAAAGGTTGGCACTATGTAAGGTAATATTTTGATCATTTATCCAATAGCGCAAATCTTCCTGAAGGGTTGAAGACTCAGTGGATGAAGAGTCAATGGTTTTGTTGGCTGATTGTTGCAAATTTGTATCAATATCAGATGATTGAAAACCAATATTTGAAGACGTTGAAGGCATATTTGAAAATTCAACGATCTCTATATTAGCCACTGTATTTTCTATATCATTCTTGCTTGCACTTACACCGATACTAGGTGTAGAATTATCCACTTGTTGATCCAAAAGTTTTTTATATCTTAGCACTTTTTGAGCAACTATCTGTTGAATTCTGCGTTTCGATAAATCCTTTAATGGTTTACGTGTCTTTAATTTTTGTTGATCCATCATAATTATTCTACTTAAAAAAAATTAACTCACTGACTGCTCTAGTAAACACTTGACAGTTCTACAAAATCTTTGCGCCACGAAATCTCTATTTTCCTTGTCGAAAGTTTGCAAGCCTGAGTCGATCACTTCACGCTCTGTGACCTCTGTGACTCACTGCATTTTCGTTTCGTGAATCGTTGTGCTTCGAATAGGTTAGTGAATCATAGTAATCAAGAGAAATCTTTTTAATCATCGTCGTCAGCAGGTATTTTCTATTTATTTTTGTGATTGATTCATATATCAAATTGTTAAGAAAGGTTCAGCAAATGTGATTAGACTGATTTCGAAGATTTTCGAATGTTTTTGTAACCTCTTTACGATGGCTTTTCAGAATGTATACCCATGCGGTCGTTAAATTCATTAAAGAAACTGAAAATATAATAACCTCAGAGGTGCCTGTTAGTTGGCTAATCAAAACAGGCAATGAGATTACAAAGTGTTGGTGGCCTCCTGCTAATATAGCATCAAAAACTCCTTTAATAATGAAAAAAAGTGTACCCGACAGTACCTGGACAAAGGAAGATGTGAGTGTCATGCGTTATTTCGGTAAGTGCATTTCTTTAACTAAATATAAATGTAGATTTTTTTTTAAATCTATTTTTTCATTGCATAGATTCATATTATAAAGCAAGAAAGTTTGCGCAAGATAGTGATTATACATCGGCTGAGGAGAATCTTGGCAAAGGGTTTCGTTTAAAGAAACCCAACAGCCAATATCAATCAAATGAAGAAGAATATAGTACGTATAAAATCCTACATATTTTAATGCAATAGAATATATATTTTGAAAGAATAAAAAATAATCTTTCAGATTTTAATCCTAACCAACAATTGTTGCTGGATCTAGAATCACCGAGGAGTTCTACAAGTACCAATTGCGTAACTCCTTCTAATGTAGAAGAATTGAGCCCTTTACCCTTATCCCCTCTCATGGGGATAAATCATGACGTTGGGTTATGCAAAACTTTCGAAGATCAAGGAACACAAACTGATAGGGATTGGTCTGCAGAAAAGCTGGAACAAAGAATAGTGAACATAAATGAAAACTTGGAGAAGCAGTGCACAAAAACCGATTTTATTCTCAGGGAGCTTGCCATTTTGAATACTAAAATGGATCAATTACTGCAAAATGCAAGTTATCCTACATTGACATGTAATCAAGATGGTAATGTCTTTGATTCTTTGTTTCCACTTGATGCGGAAGATGATATCACATGCTGTGAAGAGTTTTTAAAAGATGAAACATATGTTGCAGAATTGGTAAACTATAATTGCACCTTGGGAGATATTGAAATAAAATAATTTGGTAGTAATTATATTTTAATGTTTTGTTTTTAGCAAAGCTATGTTAGAAAAATTGGTGGGAAAACTCCGGCTGAAAATATAAGAAATATATTGAAAAAAGTTTTTACCAAAAAATTGGCAGCTGTATGTTCTTGGTATGGCCGGAAAGGTAATATGGCAGTAAACAAGCTGAAAGTAATGGAAGTGATTAAAGGTAATTTAACTTCAATTTATTTTAATTAATGTTTCTAATTCCTGTTTGGTTTTATTTTAGACACAATAATTAACAACACCGCTGAATTTACAGAAGCCAAGTTTGTTAATATAGTTGTAGAATGGTTTCGCTTTGGGAAACAAAGACTACATAGAGAACAAAACAGAAGACCCATAATAACATAATAATATATATATATATATATATATATATATATATATATTATATATATATAATATTAAACTATGTTTATAAACTTTGGAGTTTAATGGTAACACACATTCTTGAAATATGTATTTGCAGCCAAAATAGTCAAAATAAAAAGTGACGAATAAATTACTTATATTCATGTACATTTCAAACACCGTATGTGTGTCATCATTCACAAGTTAATAAATTCAAGGCAGAAAAAATCAAAACATATTGTTGAATGAAAAACCCAAGACATTAAATAAAAAGATGTTTTGTTTTTTCATTGAACAATGTGTTAAAATTTGTGTGCGCTTTTTCCTGCTTGAGTGTATTAATTTGCTGAATGATGACACACATTCAGTGTTTGAAATATACATGAATATAGTTAATTTATTCATTGCTTATTATTTTGACTATTTTGGCTGCAAATACATATTTCAAGAATATGTGTGAGCATCAAACTTCAAAGTTTATAAACACACACACACACACATATATATATATTATATATATATATATATATATTTATATTTATATTTATATGAATTTATTCCTGTTAGTTTCAATATGAATTTTATGTGTATATATACATATGTATGTGTATATGTATATATACACACATGTATATATATGTTTGCATTATTCTTTTTTAATATGAATTTATTCCTGTTAGTTTCAATATGAATTTTATTCCAAGTTATTTTTTCAATAAGATTGTTTATTTTAATATTATCACTTTATTAATATAATTTATACATGTATATATCAAAATATGAATTTATTATTAATGTTAATTTTACTGATTTTTTTAAATTTAAGTAATGTATTATTGTTACTATGAAATTTGTCATAAAAATGTTCAATAAAATTACTTTAAAATATTAATTTTACCTTTTAATATTTATATCCAAAACAATTTATTTGCAGGAAATTCCATTAAATAATTATGTAACATAAAAGACACCTACACGCTTTTTTATTCAATTTAGATACGTAGCAAAAAGGCAACCGCGGTGTATCAGTGTGCAACGAAACAGCCGTTACGTTCTTGCCCGCGAAATAGATACTTCTGTGTGCCTCCCAGGTTACGTACCTGCTTCGTGCGAACGTGGCAGCGTTACGTAACGTTCATGGCTTTGTTACGTTTTGTGGTTTACTGGGTATATATATATATATGATACAGTTTTGAAGCCACATGTCGAAAAATAAAACAAGAACGTAAATATAAATCTTTTTAGTACGTTTCGAGCTATTCTGCTAGCTCATCATTCAGCTAAAAAAACAAACAGAGTAATAAAACAAAGTAACAAAATACAATAAAACAGAATTAAAATTATACATACCAAACCAAGTTATTAAAGTTGTAAGTTATTAAACATTCAAAAAAGCATTTTGTGTAAAATTTGACAAATATGAATATTTTGTTCTAAAAACAAAAAACAAAAAAAATATGTATATATATATATATATATATATAAAATTTTGAAAAATGAAATCAAGTAATCGAAATATATCGAATGAAAGATAAAAGAAAATAAAAGAAAATATCAAGTGGTAAAAAAATTGTTCAAATATTAAAATAAATCAGATTTACATATATATATATATATGTTTTTTTATTTAATTTTTAATAATTAATTATATTTTTCTAGCTTTTGTAGTTCCCCATCATCGAATGGACAATGGTGTACAAAACGCTATTATGGATTATCAGAGAAAACGAATAGTTTCGATGGGTAAGAACTTATTTATACTTGTTTATCTATGGGTAAGAATTTATTTGAACCTTCATAGAAATTTAATTAGTAATTAGAAATTATTTTTATAAATTCCATTAGTAATTAGTATCTTAAATAATGACCACGCGCTAATCATCTTTCAAATTAACTTGGGTATTGGGTGTGCCGCAAGGAATGATTTTAGGGCCAATGATATTTATTACTTTTTGTTGCGGCTTGCTTATGTAAATAAATAAATAAATTTATGTATTAGATAGAAAAAGAGAGAGGGCGATACGAAAAGGAGAGAAATTGATTTATTTAGATGTAGAGAAAAAGTATAGATGTAGAGAAAGATTTATAGAGATAGAAAGAGGGAAAGAGATAGACAGATTAGCATATAGAGAAAGAAGATGAAGAGAGATGAAGAAAGGTAAAAGTAAAGAGAAAAAGATAGTGAGTAAAAAGAATAGATAGATTAGAGAGAAAGATAAAAAATGTAGAGAAAGATATAGATAGTGAAAGAAAAAAATAAATAGATAAACATATGGAAAACTGTGGTCCATATGTAATATATTTTATTTATAATAAAATAGTAACGACACTATGTGTTATCATATTTATCATTTATAAAATATAGTTAGTATTTGTGTATTTTCAATAAAAAGGAAAAGTGTTATGAATTATAATTTTGGCAGTGAGACTGGGGAGAAACAATAGAGAGATCCGAACTGACACTTGCACTATTTTGTTTCATCCGTGCTGTCACTATGATGAGCCTATCTGTCCAGTAGAAATGCGATGCGTGTTGACAGGCATCAGATAGATTGAACTTTATTATGGCAAATATTATATATACATTGTTTGTATGCTTACTTTCAGCTGTTTTAAATTCAGAAGCAAACGTTTTATAGCCTCTAAAAGTGTACTATAAATTAATTTTACTTCAGTTGCATATTATAAATAAGCTTGACAAGAGTCTGAATATAATAATAATAATTTATGATTGTTCATTAGAACTTGATAACGAATGAATAAATCTAATTAAATAGAGCAAGAGAGATGGTAATCCAGATAAAGAGAGAAAAAGAGATAGAGATAAATAGAGAGGAAAAGAAACTAGATACATAGATAATTCTATAGAGATAAGAAGAGCGAGGGAAAAAGATTGGTATAGAAAGAGATAGATACAGAGAGATAGAGCAAGAATAATCCAGAAAAGGAGTGAGCAAAAGATAGAAAAATAAACAGAGAGGAGAAAAACTAGATACGTAGATAATTCTATATATAGAATTTATATATGAGGAGATGAGGAGAGCGAGGGAAAAAGATTGATAGAAAGATTGATGTAGAGAGAAAGAGATAGAGCAAGAGTAATCCAGAGAAGGACACAGAAAGAGATAAAGATAAATGTGGAGAAAAAGATTTGAAGAGAAGGTGAAAAAGATGAATGTAGAGAATGAAAGAAAAAAATTGATTTAGAGAAAAAGAGATAGATATAGAGAGATATAGCAAGAGTAACTTAGAAAAAGAGAGAGAAAGAGATAGAGATAAATGGAGCGGAAAAAACTAGATATGTAGATAGATCTATAGAGATGAGGAGAGCGAGGGAAGAAAATTGATAGAAAGATTGATGTAGAAAGAAAGAGATAGATATAGAGAGATAGAGCAAGAGTAACCCAAAAAGGACAGAGAAAGAGATAGAGATAAATGTAGATGAAAAAACTAGATACGTAAATAGATCTATAGAGATAGAAAAGCGAGAGAAAAAGATTGATTGATAGATATAGAGAGATAGAGCAAGAGTAACCCAAAAAAGAAGAGCGAAAAAAATAGAGATAAACCGAGAGAAAAAAACTAGATATGTAGATAGATCCACCTTGTGAATCCCAAAAAACGGTGGCCATCACCTTTCCAGCCGATCAAACAGTCTTCGCCTTTTTCGGAGCACGTTCGCCCGGTGAAGTCCACTGTTTTGACTGCTCCTTGGTCTCTGGTGTGTACCAGTGAATCCATGTTTCGTCGACGGTCACGAAACGACGCAAGAACTCCGCCGGGTTGCACGTCGCCGATGTGGTCTCACGGTTGCGCTTGTTTTCCGGTGTGAGCAAGCGCGGCACCCACCGCGCCGACAGCTTTCTCATGCCCAGTTCTTCGTGTAGAATATGATGCACCGTTCCTTCTGCGATGCCTACAGTCTCAGCTATCTCGCGAACTTTCAATCGACGGTCTGCCAACACGAGATCGTGGATTTTTTTAATATTTTCGTTTGTAGCAGCTGTTTTCGGGGCACCTGGCCGTGGCTCGTCAAAAACTGACGTGCGGCTACGAACAAACTCGTTAAACCAATTCTTGACGGTCGCCATCGAAGGAGAAGAGTCACCGTACACAGCATCCAAGCGATCTTTGATTTCGCTGCGCGTTTTCCCTTCCAAAAACAAGAATCTAATCACCGAACGATATTGTTCTTTTTCCATTTTTGTAAAATTGACCGACACGCTCGCTTTCAAAAGCTGTCAAAACAAAACTAATGCAGGGAATTGAATGAAACTTTGACAGTAGGCTACTAAAAGAACGTACTGCATGATGGTAAAACTCTTTTGTGATAGCAGCGCCATCGGGCGGTGAGGCTAAGTACTTGTTGAATGACCCTCGTATAGAGATGAGCAGAAGAGCGAGGGAAAAAGATTGATAGAAAGGCTAATGTAGAGAGAAACGTTAGATGTAGAGAGATAGAGCAAGAATAATTCTGAAAAAGACAGAGAAAGAGATAAAGATAAATGTAGAGGAAAAAAACTGGATACGTACAAGAGCGAGGGAAAAAACTAGATACGTAAAAAGATATATAGAGATGATGGGAGCGAAAGAAAAAGATTAGAACAGAGAAAGAGATAGGTATAGGGAGATAGAACAAGAGTAATCGAGAAAAGAGAGAAAAAGAAATAGCGATAAATGGAGGTGAAAAAGGCTAGATCGAAAGAAAAAGATTGATAGAGAGAGAAAGAGAGATGGAGTAAGAGAAAAGTATGGAATAGGAGATAGAAAAAGAAAAATAGATAGATAGATCGATGGAGAGACAGAAATGATAGACGAGTCGACAGACTAGGATATAGAAAAGTATAAATTAAATCGATGGAGTGATTGAGAAAGAAGATAGATATAAAAAGCTATAGATTAGTAAGGTATAGAAAGCGATAGATATAGGAAAGATATAGAAAAGGATAAAAAAATCGATGAGAGAGGAGATTGAGAAAGGAGATAGATATAGAAAGCGATTTATTAAACTGGCGAATAAATAAATAAACCCTCAATTTAAAATTTATATTTATACCTCAGAGTAATGATTTAAAATTTTTTGGTTCTGATTCATTAAATTCATTTGAATTACTCCTAGATTTATTGAATTAAAATATTTTGATATAAGTTCTATGTATCAAGATTTTATATTAACGGACAAGACTGATGATTTTTATTAAGTATTCTCTTCATTATTATTTCATTTATTTTTCAGGTCGAGATGGAACCTTGGTCTCATCAGGTTTACCCTGGTGTGGAGATGAAGAGACAGAAATACGTAAACAAAAAGCTGAAGAATTCATGAATAATCCAGAAACGAGAGCCATGTTTATGGAAAGAAAGACTGAAGGATATTTTGATGAAGGACCCATGGGTAAGTTATATTTTGTTTATTAAAGTGGAACTTCTAATGCGACCAACAAGGCTGCGTTCTTAGGTATGTAGGGAGTAATAGAAAGCGAGATTTGTCTGATGGTTGTAAATTGTCTGGTTGATGATGTTATAGATTGTCTGATATTATAACTGGTCTGATATTATAATAACTTGTCTAAATGGACTAGATTGTCTGATATTATAGTAACTGGTCTGAAAATATGGTAAAATTTTCTGTAAACGTTCCAAATTGTCTAAAAATATTGCGATTTGCCTGAAAATGTCGCAAATTTTCTAAATAAGTTTTAGATTGTCTGAATATATTGTGAATTATGTTATTGCATCAATGTTGTAATTTTTAGTCTGAATTAAATTAGTCTGAAAATATTGTAAATTTCCTGGTAACGATGTAAATTGTCTGAACATGTCGTAGATTTTCTGAACATTGCATGTAGATTGTCTGAGAATTATTATAAATTCTCTAAAAATGTTGTAAATTATGTGAAAATGTTATACATTGTCAGATAATTTGGTGAATCATCTAAAAATTTCGTAGAATGTCTTGAAATGCTGTAAATTGTCTAAATGTTGCAGATTTTCTAAAAATGTTGCAGACTGTCTATTTGTAAATGTTATAAATTGTTTGAAAACGTTGCGTAGATTTTCTGAACTGGTTTAAAAATGTTGTAAATTATCTGACAATGTTTTAGATTGTCTGTTAATGTTATAACTGCTCTAAAAATGTTGTAAAGTATTTGACTATGTTTCAGATTGTTTTCTAATGCTGTAACTGCTCTGAAAATGTTGTAAATTGCCTGACAATGGTTTAGATTGTTTGTTAATGTTGTAACTGGTCTGAAAATGTTGTAAGTTGCTTGACAATGTTTTAGATTGTTTTTTAATGCTGGAACTGGTTTAAAAATATTGTGAATTATCTGACAATGCTTTAGATGGTTCGTTAACTTGTCTGAAAATGTTGTATGTTGCCTGACAATGCTTTAGATTGTTTGTTAATGTTGTAACTCGTTTGAAAGTGTTGTAAGTTGTCTGAAAATGTTTCAGATTGTTTTATAATGTAGTCACTGGTTTAAAAGTGTTATAAATTGTCTGACAATAATTTAGATTGTTTTTTAAGGCTGCAACTGGTCTAAATATGTTGTAAATTGTCTGACCATCTTTTAGACTGTTTATTAACGTTGTAACTGGTCTGAAAATGTTGTCTGATTGTTTTTGCAGGCTGTATAACTAGTCCTAATATCTTATGAATTGTCTGACCATTTTTATATTGTTTGTTAATGCTGTAACTGGTCTGAAAATGTTGTAAGTTATCTGACTATGCTTCAGATTGTTTGTTAATGTTGTAAATGGTCTGAAAATGTACGTTGTCTGTCAATGTTTTAAATTGTTTGTTAATGTTGTAACTGGTTTAAAAATGTTGTAGATTGTCTGACAATGTTTCATTTTGTTTGTTAAAGTTGTAACTGGTCTAAAAATGTTGTAAATTGTCTGACTATACATTAGATTGTTTGTTAATGATGTAACTGGTTTAAAAGTGTTAAAACTTGTCTGACAATGTTTTAGATTGTTTTTAATGCTGTAACTGGTCTGAAAATGTAAATTGTCTGACAATGGTTTAGATTGTTTGTTAATGTTGTAACTGGTTTAAAAATGTTGTTAGTTGTCTGACAATGTTTTAGATTGTTTGTTAATGTTGTAACTGGTCTAAATATATTGTAAATTGTCTGACAATGTTTTAGATTGTTTGTTAACGTTGTAACTGGTATGAAAATGTTGTAAGTTGTCTGTCAATGTTTAAACTGGTCTGAAAATGTTGTAAGTTGTTCACCATGTTTCAGATTGTTTTTAAATGCAGTAACTGGTTTAAAAATGTTGTAAATTGTCTGACAATGCTTTAGATGGTTTGTTAATATTGCAACTGGTCTGAAAATAATGTTAGTTGTCTGACAATGTTTTAGATTGTTTGTTAATGTTGTAACTGGTTTAAAAAGGTTGTAAATAATCTGACAATGTTTTAGATTATTTATTAATGTTGTAATTGGTCTGAAAATGTTCTAAGTTGTCTGAAATTGTTTCAGATTGTTTTTTAATGCTGTAACAGGTTTAAAAATGTTGTAAATTGTCTGGCAATGCTTTACATAGTTTGTTAATGTTGTAACTGGTCTGAAAATAATGTTAGTTGTCTGACAATGTTTTAGATTGTTTATTAATGCTGTAATTGGTTTAAAAATGTTGTAAATTGTCTGACCATCCTCTAGATTGTTTTAGATGTTTGTTAATGTAGTAACTGGTCTGAAAATGTTGTAAATTGCTTGACAATGTTTTGGTAGGTTTTTTAATGCTCCAGCTGGTCTGAAAATATTGTATATTATCTGACAACGTTTGATATTATTTTTCATGCTGTAACTGGTCTGAAAATGTTGTAAGTTTTCTGACAATGCTTTAAATTGTTTTTTAATGCTGTAACTGGTTTAAAAATGTTGTAAATTGTTTGACCATCTTTTAGATTGCATCTTTATATATTATTTGTATATTATTTGACAATGTTTCAGATTGTTGACGTTGTAACTGGTCCGAAAATGTTGAAATTGACTGACCATATTTTAGATTGTTTGTTAATGTTGTAAGTTTTCTGACAATGTTTTAGATTGTTTGTTAATGTTGTAACTGGTCTGAAAATGTTGTAAATTGCTTGACAATGTTTTAGTAGGTTTTTTAATGCTGTAATTGGTCTGAAAATATTGTATATTACCTGACAACGTTTGAGATAGTATTTCATACTGTAACTGGTCTGAAAATGCTGTACGTTGTCTGACAATATTTCAGATTATTTTTCAAGGCTGTAACTAGTCTAAATATGTTGTAAATTGTCTGACCATCTTTTAGATTGCATCTTTAATGTTGTAACTGGTCTGAAAATGTTGTATATTATTTGGCAATGTTTCAGATTGTTGACGTTGTAACTGATCCGAAAATGTTGCAAATTGTCTGACCATATTTTAGATTGTTTTTTAATGTTGTAAGTTGTCTGACAATGTTTTAGATTGTTTGTTATATAGCGAATTATTTGATAATATCATTAGAAGTACTAAAAATACCATTGCTGCAGAAATATTGAAAAAATAGAACTCATACATTTTGTACAATAATCCATCTTTTAATTAAAACTGTTTTATTTAAATTCTTATTTAAAGACCATAGCAATTATGGATACTTCTCTATTCAATCTCTATGCAATCATTTGTGAAATGTAAGCAATGCTAAAATGAAAGTTTTTTTGTTGAAATAATTCAAATTCACTAAATATTTCTTACCATTACACAGTTTTGGAAATATATAAATTTTCTCTAGTATAATTTAAAAACAAATGATAGTTGTAATATATTTTATTAAATTTATATTTTTTTAACTATAATGGTCGCAAGCAATATATGAAATAACCCAAAGGACATTCATAACATAAAATATATATATGTTAAGTAATATTTACAATCTAAGTCTATTATACTCTCTGTGTCTCATAATGAAGGTTTTTTTCTTCGACATGTGCTTTTGCTTTATGTTTCAACATTCCACTTTTTCGTGCAAACGCTTCATCACACACATCACATTTGAAAGGCTTCTCTTTAGTATGAATACGTAAATGCTGTGCTAAAATATCAGATCTTGTAAAAGCTTTATCACAGTAGGGACATTGGAAATCTCTACGACCCTCATGAACAACTTTGTGTTTTTTCAAATACTGATCTCGAATGAAGGCTTTACCACAAACATCACATTTGAAATCCCTTTCGCCTGTATGGACTTTAGTATGAAGGGATAGACTTTGTTGGTCCGCGAAGGCTTTATTGCAAAGGGAACAAATGAATTGTTTGCCGTTGATGTGAATGGATACATGTTTTTTCATGTTTTGTAACAGTGTGAACTTTTTCAAACAAATGAAACATTCATAAGGGCGCTCTCCAGAATGCGTTTTGAGATGCATGTGTAAGTAACTTTTGTTAGAGAATGCTTTACTGCAATAAGGGCACTCAAAGTCTTTGTCCTTTATATGAACGTACATGTGTTTCATTAAATTGGACGACCGAGGAAATCCTAGGCCACATATATTGCACTTGTGAGGCCTTTCGCCTGTGTGTAGTCTGTAGTGGCTTTGTAAATCACCTTTACGAGAATAAGCTTTATCACATTGTGTACATTTGAAAGCCTTTTCAGGAGCATGTGTCAGTTTATGGTTTGTTAAAGTAGATAGTTGCGTGTAAGCTTTGTCACACATATCACATTTAAAAGGCCTTTCTCCTGTATGGGTTCTTACATGAGGAACTAAATCAATATTACGAGGAAAAGTCTTCATGCAGTAAGGACATTGAAATCGTTTCTCTTTAGGCTGTTTTACAGGTTTAAAAGAATCATCTATCTCACTGGGTATTTGTACTTGTTCATGGTAATCCTGGACAATATCTTCTTGCACTTGAGTATCAATGTATGTTTCTGGTTTTAAATATTGAGGGAAACTTGCATCTTCAGAAATCTCATTTGTCTCTTTGTAATCGTTGTTGTAACTGTTTTCTGTTTCCGAAGCATCTGAATCTACTGGTTCACATTTAATTTCATATTCGATGTTGCATGAATCAATTTCTTGTTTTATTTCGGTCATTGCACTTTTGAAATAATATAATTTCTATATAATAAGTATAAATTCTTGGTTTCCTGCCTTATTTACTAGTAAATATTATAAACTTAATATTCAATTTGTAATCATTTCATGTGGTTTGAAAAATTTTATAATCTCGAAGACTCGTTTTATATTGATGAATATTCATATGTAGGTTGTCTGGCAACGTTTGGTCTGGTTATTTCATATATCTGAAATTGAACAAACATAATTATGATTATGATATAATATTTATCAACTTCCAGAGGGAGAAGTTTATATTTTCATCAAAAAATCCGATTCGCTAATTTTATGTTTTCTCGACGTTTCAAGCCATTCTGAATCGAATGAGACCAAATTTGGAAAAAGAATGTGTGTGGGTGTACAGATGTTGTATCTTAAATCGACGTATTCTCAAAAAAGGCTTGTCCGATTTCAAAAATTTACAAGCCATTCGATTTATCCCGATGAGGATTATCGTTCGTCAGTTTTGTGCGACGATCTGACAAGCCGTTTCTTTGTTATTTGGAAAAAAAAGTGTTAAACTTTTCGACCACATTTAATCTCATACTACCGAATCGATTTTAAAAAATCAAAAACTGTTCGAAAGATATTAGTTGGGAATGATACTGATTAGTATTAGGTGAAAATCTACCGAGCCGTTTTCTTGTAATTAACTCTTGAAAAAAAAATTTAAACCGATTTTTATGTAACTTTTTTTGACGATATATATCATGGTCTTATAGAACTTACTGCAATATTACGGCCTTACGAAAAGTAGTTTTTTAAAAGTTTAAAAATTCATCAAAGTTTGAGAAAATGAATTGTTTTTTTGGCGTTTGTTAAAATTAAAATTAGACGATTTACTTGGTATAACGATAGGGTACTTGGTCTTAATGAACATACTGAACCATTAAAGTCTTACGCAAACTGGTTCAATTATAAAAATTGTTGATTTTTGAATATTTGCTTCTAGAAAATTCTCCAAGTTAATTTATTCATAAATTAAGTTATTTTTATTGATTAAGTCTATTATTTACACATGTCGGGAAGTTCATGTAACTTGCCTCAAGGCAAAATACCAATGCCAACGAATTTTATATCGTTATACAGTGGCACCTCGACATACGAGTTTAATTCGTTCCATAACCACGCTCGTACGTCGAATCGCTCATATCTCGAAGCACTTTTTCTATATAAATACATTGAAATGCCGTTAATAATAATATATAATTAAAACTGAAAAAATAATATATAATTAAAATTTAAAATAATAAATATATAATTAAAATGTTTAAATATAAAATAATTATTTTATAATTATAGTAATTAACAGTAAATTAATTTGTAAAATTTATTAATTAATCATTTGTAAAAAAATCATTGTCACATATGAATAAATTATTCATACTTTCATTATGCCATTAACATTTTTATAAAAAAACTCTTACTCGATCAAAGCTCGTATCTCAAATTCTGCTCGTATGTCGAGGCAACGAAACGTTTTTTTGGCGGCTCGTATCTCAAAACACTCGTATATCAAGTCATTCGTAAGTTGAGGTATTACTGTATATTATAAGGTTCAGGGGAAAAAATCCATTATCCAAACAAAAATTTTTGTCTACTGTTATATATCAGATGACCCGACAGACATTGTCCTGTACCCACTTCTACAATTCAAAAGTTCCAAATTTTTTAATATCCTATCCTATGCTTTTTAATATCCTATTTGATGTCCTGCCTTTGTGATTCATTTATTGTCTGAGCATAACCAGTATAAGAAATCCAGAAAAAAATAATATAGTATCTGCGTGGTGAAAGAACAATATCACACTTGATTTACCACACAACATAATTGCTTCAATAATTTAGTCTATAATTCTCATGTTCTCGTACTATATATTAATTGGCTTTTTGGAAAATATCATTTCTAATGTACATTTTTCTTACTAATAATTGAATAAACATTATTGTTTATGTTCCAATCTTAAGTGAAATTAATTTGTAAAATCTAGTTCATATGGGCACTATTCAATCTAAGATCAACTTGCTAAATATTCCAAAGCCAATGCCAAACAAATGAATTTTTGACACACGAAACAAAATTCTAAATAAATTTTTTACTAAGTAGAAATATTTTTTATGTTAAATAATTTAGTGAAGTAAACCAAAATGCGACATGCATAAGTTTAAAAAAATAATATGTATCGAATTTTGGACTTATTCCGTTATTTATTAACTGAATTATATAATTCATCTGCCAATCATATACTGTTGACTGTATCTTATATTATTTTAATTTCTTGCACATCTCAGCTGCTTTTCCGCAATAATAATGTAGAGATTACATTTTTTTCGTATATTACATTCTAAATTATCTAGGCTCATAATTTCAGATAAATTCAAATTTCAAGTGAATTGACATTTCTAGCAGATGGCGGTTCAAATGTTTTCAATGTTAAACAATGATAAGTGTTTTTTATAATTTTCCATTTATTTCTACAACATTGCTATAATTTTATAGTGCATTAAATTAAAAAATGTTCTTTAACAAACTCTAAAAAGAATTATCAAGATCCAAATAACCGTTTAGGAGAGGAATCAAATCATACACCCGTACAGAAGAATTTTATATATAAGATATAAAATTTATAATAAAGAATATAATTTGAAACCTTCATCAATAAAATTTAGGTCACTAGCTTTTAATTAGTCCAGT